CAAATTTATAGTGAAAGAGAAAAGCAACAATGCTAAAGTTTAGGAAGTAATTAGAGGCCATGATTCCATGTACTCCATTTCACGTAGTGCTATGCATGCATCCACGTTCACACACCTCCTTTTATTTTTTAACAAATTAACTGCTAACTACTTGGTTTAATATATTACTAATAATAATAATAGCATTATTATTATTATAACAGGGTAGATAAATAGGTAAAACGATGTCATTGTAAGGTCACGGAGACTGAATAATATTGTATCAAATAAGGATTATCGAGCTATTACAAGACGAATGTAAAACTATTACAATAGTAGATTAGGATAACATAGATAGAATAGGATAGAAGATGTGGAATGTATCCTAATGGGACAAAACATGGGGTATTTATATAAAACAAACCCCAACCGTCCCTCCTAAATCGGGGGATGGTTGCATCTTCCGCGCGGATCGCGCCCGGGCCGAGACCGGGTCCGCAGGTCAGCCGTGTCGAGCTCATTGGGCTGAGCATGGGGCTCAACCCTAGGACTTCGGGTCCGCTCTATGCTCTCTTGCTTCGCCTCCTCGGGTCGGGTTGTTCTGATTATAATATATTCATCCATTTTTATTATTATTATTATTATTATTATTATTATTATTATTATTATTATTATTATTATTATTATTATTATTAGGGAAAAGGGTCAAATAAGTCCCTAAACATTACTCAAGAAGTCAATTAAGCCCTCAAACTTTCCAAAGTTGCAATTAACCCCACGAACATGTCATTTTGGAGCAATAAGACCCACAAACCTATTGGTGACCTGATATTACAGGTCACTTAGGATTTCGGCCAACTCCGGCAAACCTCCGACGATCGTACGATAATTTCCGACAACAATGTCAAATGCGGACGACCGTGAAAAGGGACCACAAAACTTTCTGATTCTCTTATCTTCGCAATTGCATAATGAACCTATCTATCGTATGAAGAAAGTTCTAAACAACCGCCAAGAAACTCACCTGATAACTCCTCCGGCACGACGGCGCAACTCTTCCTTCTCCGTTCAGCTCTGTTCATCCCACCTGACAAAATTTTAACAAATACAAATTCTCAGAAATCAAAGATTCACCCAAAATAAATAAATAACACTATGTATATTTAATCCCCCAAAAAATGCTGAGACTTCGCCACTGCTTTGGTCCAAGAAGAAAACTGCAATAAATGGCAAGAACCCATCTTTATACAACCATTGGTATACACTACAGATACCATCAAAGAAACAGAAGAACCCACCTTGGAAATCTAGCTTGCGTTTTTGTTTCATGGTGGCCGATGAAGCTGGAATAACATACGCGCAAATAAGTTCCAAGAAAGCAGGGGATCCCATAAAGAAGAACAAATGCAGTAATGATCCGAGGAGAAATAAAAACAAAAAAAATTCCCTTCGTCGGACAGGCGACCGTAGTCCAAAGTCCAAACGAGACCGGCGACCATTTTCACGGTTGTCAGTATTTGACATTGTTGCCGGAAATTATCGTACAATCGTCGGAGGTTTGCCGGAGTTGGCCGGAATCCTAAGTGACCTGTAATATCAGGTCACCAATAGGTTTGTGGGTCTTATTGCTCTAAAATGACATGTTCATGGGGTTAATTGCAACTTTTGAAAGTTAGAGGGCCTAATTGACTTCTTGAGTAATGTTTAGGGGCTTATTTGACTCTTTTCCCTTATTATTATTATTATTATTATTGAAGTGACGGCACCTTAAGATTGTGAAATGATGCCCCAAGGATTTTTTTTACTTTCCAAATAAAAACAAGAGCCCCACGTGGAGTTATTGTACATCGTGATGCATGCATGAATTGACCGTACATAATTACATATAGTGTTAAGTACAGTATTAAGATTCCGCGGTCTCTTTTTATGTTTTTTAATTTGTTTTAGCCATTTCCATGTTCCGCGTTGTTCATGGTTGGTAACTAAATATTCCTGTCTCATGTGTTGTCGGGTTGTTAACAAGAATAACAACTTAATTATCTAACTAATAATCAGTCATTAAGAGAGAAAAGGCCTGCGTTTTTTACAACCGTGTTTTTATGTCATCTTAATTATGAATTCTTAGTTCCCACGTGTACTCGGGGTATAAGTTTGAACCCAAAACTCATAGACCATTCACCACTTTCAAAAGTGAGTCACTACTTGAGAGTGTGCACTGAGTAAATTTTATTTTTTTTTAGTAACCCTCAAACTACATAAGAGAGTTAAATCACATTAAAAAAATATATTGTATAGTACGTTATACGTAATAGACTCTACATATCAGTTATTAACAAAAAAATCAAACTTAATATACTTTTTTTATGCAAGAATCATATTGTATTCGCAAAATTACCCATTTCAAAATCACCACGCGTCGTTATTTGTCTTTATAACGTATAGGTGTCGAAGATAGATGCAAAATAGAAGTCAAGTTTGAACGTTGACTCTGAATTTGAAGGAATCAATCCACCCAACATAGTGTAATTCCATGCCGGAAATTCAACCTGCAGCTAGCTTAATGAGTCAACCCAATTGTTTTCCTCGGAAGTCGCAACGTTGAGTAAAAGAACAATATGAACATGTAATAAGCAAAAATATATAGGATAAATTTTTTTATTTTTTTATTTTAATGAAGAAAGAAACAATATATTCAAAAGATAATGCACATTTAAAATCATAAATAATTAATCATGATCTATCTGTCATTTATCACACACCAATATGTAATTAACGTTCTCGTGAAAAAGGTTTATTATCCATTATATGTGTGTGTAAAAATCATGTTTTGTGTGAAGAATGAGAATAAATTACAACTATCCGTCACAAAAGACAAATGATCACAGGTCACGAATAAAAATATAGAGACAATTTTATAATTCTAAAGAATCTTAACCACCTCCATTCACTATTTTCAGACTACTAATCATCCACCTTATTATTAACTGTGCAGGCTACTTTTATTTTATTTTTATTTTTTAAAAAGAAATTAATATAGACTATAATAAATATTTCAAAAAAAAAAATAGAGTAATAAATATAGTAGTATATGTGTGGGAGTGGTGGCTGGCGGCCATGAAAGAAACGTAGGTGGACGGGAAGTTATCATACATGAGAGCAACGTTTTTAAGTTACATCCTACGTACGTACTAATTAATTAAAACACAACAATAATACTAGAGCAACTCTAGTTAAATTGGATACACTATTATCTCCGTAATCACAAATTACAAGTATAACTAAATTTTTTTGGTTTGAACCAAATAATAATTATTTCGTATGGAAATGATTGTGGCTCTTTCTCGTGTCTAAAAAAACACAACAATAATTCCAATATGGAAAAATTGATATATATACTTTTATACTTTTGTAAGGGTTATAATTATTTTGGTTTTTTACTTCAAATTTTTTTTTTTATTGTACAAATAAATCTATTATTTTTTTATTTTTTTTTATTTAGAAAAAAAGGAGAAAATTTCAGATAGTGAATGCAATGATAGTGTTTTTGACTGGGTCGTTTGGGAAAATAATGTCTGAATTCAATTCACGTGTCCACTTCAGTGTTGAAAAGGCAGACACATATAAAGGTGACAGCAAACCACCTTGTTGGCCCCACCATGTCACTACTTTCGTTATTTACATGTGAACCCAATTTTCTTATTTCTTAATTCGATCATTCCCACGTGATGTTCATGCAACTTGCAATCTGCTTTATCACTCCTTTCAAAAAATAAAAAATAAAAAAAATTCTGTTGCTTTCTTTTTCTTTCTATTTTTTCTTTCGTCAGGAGATTCTTTTAATTTCCTTTGATGGTAACTGGTAAGTGAAAACTCAGTGGTTGATTTATTTTTGACTATGTACTACTGATTCTGTTATAATGTTTTTTTACTTGTTTAATTTTTTTTTTTTTTTTTGAATACGTACAACTAACTCTGTAATAATGTAGTCTCCATTGAAATCGAACATATGATCTTTTCTGAAGCAACAAGTCTGAACCCAACAAAAAAATATATATATGAAAAATAAATGTGAACATATAGTAAGGTCAAAACTGTCAACTGATTTTCAAGATTTATTCAAACCCAACAACAAATCCTTATTTTGGAAACTTCTAAATTAAAAACTCCTAAAACCTATAAATGTAATTTTGTCAAAATGCAGTGGCAATTTGCACCTTGCTGCCTATATATTGGCCCCGAGCCTTTCAGAGCTTCTCACTCAGAAAACAACAGAGCTCAAGCATTCAAACACCTTGCAAGAGCCACCGCCGATAGTTTCAGTGCTACTAATACTAAGGAACAAGATGGCCGGAGCCGGTAACATGATGATCAACGGCGGAAACATGACGAGGTCAAGCAGGCTTGAATATGAACGGCCGATCCCCATGAGAGGACAAGTGAAGGTGGCTGCGGTTCGGGGATTAGCGCACTCTCTGTCTTCTATTCTCTCTAAAGGAGCTCGGTCTCCTCGCCGGAGAACCAGCCTGTAGAGAGAGAGAGAGAGCAGAGCTTTGAACTCGCCGACCGGCCGGAGAAGGATGGGATCGGGAAAGAGATCAGAGCACACCCAGTTTTGTTGTTGTTGTTGTTGTCTTGTTCTTAGGATCTTGATGAGCTTGGTCTGCTGAATTTCTTGTACATATTTCCTCTAATTTCTTTGAGATTTGTATAGTTTTGGGTTTAATTCCAATTCTCTTGATTGAGACAAATGCTTGACTCTCATCTCATCTTCCCCATTACTTTTCAAACTTAGTTTTTGAGTCACCAAGAAATCTAACTCAGTTTAGATTATCTATAACTTACAAGCTCAAACCGTAATAAACCATTCTAAGTTGTTCATAGTTGATCGGTTCAAACAGGTTCAAATAGATCCTATTGAGAGTTGAACTTGTAACTTTTCGGGTTACAAGTCAAAGGTTGGGTTGCGCAAACTTAGTTTTCTTGATTAAAAGAGCGATCCTAATTTCAAGAAAAAAAGAAAGGAAAACAGAAGATAAATGGAGATGGGATTCCTGGAAATGTTTAGAAAGATTGCATCTTTATTCAATCATGTGAAGTTTAAAGACAAGAAGAGGAGATAATCCATGGAAGATGGTGGCTCAAGCACTGCAAATGGCTTCAACTGCTAAGCTCTTGATGACTCCAGGACAAGGGTCTCCAAGATTAGCTGCAGTGACTGTAATTGAACATTGTGTTTTCCCTACACAGACCTGCATAATAATCACACAAACGTGCAGTCTTGTCAGTTTAAACTTTTAGTTAAAACAAAATCGATAGTCTTATCAGTTTAAATTTTTAGTTAAAACGAAAGTAATCATGCAGTTACCTGCTGAAGGATTGATGTGACATTAGAATGGCAGTTCCCTGGAGAGAGTGTTCCACATTCTCCTCTCGGAGTTCCAAAGCTCGCGAAACGAATGGATCCGATCTTCCATCCTCCTTCACAGCTCAGCTGAAGCTCAGGGTGTTGAGATTCAAAAGCTTGGTTCATCTTCCAGGAGCCTACAGGTGGAGGATCAGCCTGTGATATGTGTGCACATATCTCTTCCCCATTTCGCGTCGCCAGGGAAATCTTCGAAGGGTCTCCCCCAAACTCTTCATGAAGAACAAGCAGATTTTCGCCCGGGTGTAACCAGCTGCGAGGTATGTGATACCTGGAAATGATTTCGGGGGTGTTTGACAATTAGTTGATAGCTGATTGTGTTAGCTGTTTTGATCAGCTGATAGAATTAGCAGTTTGTAGAAATGTGTTTGGTAAATTAGATGTTTACTGTTAGCTGGTACTCAAGAAACAACTTCATGCTAGCAAGCAATAACTTACAAAACTTGGGCAGGTTGGCCACATTTCTTTAGACATTTGAATGGATCATATGTTCCCCGATAGTCGCATTTTTTGGAACAGCCTGTTGATGAGGAATGATAGGCAGACCAATATCTCCCTATGCTCTGTCCATTAATCCATGCCTGACCTTTCCCCATGCTGCCAAGGTATATTGATACCGGGCCGCTTCCCTCAGGAGCCAGGAACATCGTCTGAGAACAAAAGATTCAAAATTTGAGACAATTAAGGTTGTTGCAACAAAAAAAACAATCTTGGAACAGTCATCCTAGATATAATCAAGTGCATACATATACCTTGTACCATGTCAAGCTCTGGTTTATTGGCAAAGAATTTCCATGAATCCACAATGAACTGTTTGCAAGAGCAGTTTTGTCGAGTCCAATGTGTTCACCTTCAAGGCCTACCTGGAAATGAAAGACGTCTTTCTGGAAGGGAATTGCAGGGCGAAATGAACAGAAAGCTATTAACTTTGTTAAAACCAGGAACCTGATAGATCCATTTCGCGGAAGAAAGATCTTTCTTGGAACTCTTGTGGTCAACTAGGACAACAGAATTTATCCCCGCCCCTTGTATATCGAACCACGGTCCATAGTTCTGAAAATGGAAATTATTCATAAGAAAGAAAATACCTTTGAAATAAGCACAGGCAAAGCCTGCACTTCTATCTTGGTCAAATTGTAACTTTTTCCGGGAATAGAATCACCTGTAAACCAATCATCATGCTCAGTATATCCAATGTGTTGGTTCCTTCGTTAAGATGGATCTTCTCGCTGAATTTGAAGTCTGGAACATCATGGTTACCATAGCCAAATCCTATAAAACGTTCCAAATAAGATGTCTGTCTTTTTATGTGTTATATTAGTATAAGTTTCTCGATGGAGTAGTTACCTATAAGTTTCTTGTTTACAAAGACGAGAGCTGCATGCCCCAAACTGCTAATAGTTAGTTCTACTTCTTTTGTTTTGCCCCGCTCATTATTCTGATCCACATTTATACTGGCAAAAGAGGAAAGAAACGATACTTATAAATACTGAATAGATTAGGAAAGTCGAAGAAATAACCAAAAGTTTCAAGTTTACCTTGTTGTATACCAAAGAAAATCACTTTGATCTTTCGTGGTATTTATCTGCTCCAGTAAGCTCGATGCCTCAAAGGAACCGTTGCCTGAGACACCAACGCTTTCTTTGAACCAACTCCAAGTTGAGGATGCCAGAGAAGACATAGTTGCGATGGGATTCTCAGTAAAAGTACTGCCAAGAGTCTTCTGTGAAGTGACCTGATTCCATAAAACCAGTACAGAATTATCTTCTGAAACTGAAGAAAACACGAGGAATTGAATCATTCGTGTTTTGAAAAAAAAAAAAAGATTACCCTTGCTGTGTTGAAAACGACGTTTTTACAGTCAGGAAGAATGCTCACAGACCAAGCAGGAAGGAAGTACGATTTCCCTTTAAATTTGACAGTTGCATCTTTCGTGCTTCCATAGTTGGCTAGAAAGGCCGCACATTGCTTGGAGGTTTTATAATATACATGTGCCTGGAAACCCACATTAGCTACATCAAAATTAAGAACAAAACAGCAAGTTTTCCACTATTAGATCATGAAAGCCTACTCCAAAAACGCGTTTTCTATCAAGAAAGACCACAGAATGTGCAGTCCTTTGATAGCACAAGTTCTCTCTCTCAACACTATCAATTCTTGGATTATCATACCTCAAGGTTCGGTCCAAGTGAAACACGAGTAGGATTTGCATGCACCAAATAGTCCTCGCAATGCCTGATTGCTAAGTGTAAGTCACGCAGGTGTCCCCATTTGGGCTGCCTTATAAAACCTGCATGTCGTTCCTCTCATATATCACAACGGGTAGTAACCAATCCCCATTGAATGCATAAGAATTTGTTGCTGAAATAGAAGCATTTGGGTAAGAATATATTACCATACTCATCTATCGGGGCATCATAGTCATAGCTTGTTGCAACAAGAGGGCCTCCAGCTGTTCGCCCAAAGTTGGTACCACCAAAATACTGGAAAAAAAAAAGTACCCGAATGATCTTCAAATGAAAAAAGTAAACGAATAAGAAGTTCTATATGAATTGGGAAAGGATACTAAGTGTACACAACTATAGATTTACCATGTAATAGTTTTGAAAGGTACCGCCAGTTTCAAAAAAGCGTGCAACAGCAAAAGCCAAGTCCTCCACAGGTCGATAAGGGACGGGATAACCAAATGCAAGAAACCTGAATAATTACATAACACTCACTTTTTCTAGCCATGATGTGTAAGGGAGTAGAGAGTAAATGTAGTTCTTTTACCATCCACTATAGTTCTCGGTCCACATCTTTGGTTTAGATTTGGAATTTGGTGTGAACCGATCACAGTAAAACCCATTACATGTATTTATCTGCATTATAATCGGATTTCTTTAGCTTCAAATGAACACAGTATCTGTTTTTCGTTTTCCTAACTAAAAACCAGGCTATGGTTCTTCAATAATTCAGAAAACAAACCGTAATGCTAATGAAGCAACACTCTTCGAGGTCACTGCATTTTTCTAACATACGCAATGGATAATACTTACAACTGGATCGGGTGCATCTCCCTGCTGGCACATCACCCAGGGCACGGTTGTATTAAGGCTAACAGCGGTTTCTGCAGCCCATTTTACATATAACTCCCCCGCTGTCCCATAGGCACCCTCAACATTTCCATATTCGTTTTCTACCTGTCATGTATATATACAATGCATGGTTTAAGCCAGAAAATGTCGTAGATATCTTTTGTTTCTCAAAATTCAAGAAAATGATATGGGTGGGAGTGTGAGATAGTGGACTAGTTTCCCTTAAGGAGATCAAGATTCAAGAGTACCTAAAACGAATCGTCTGCTCATCAAATCAAAAGATTGAAACTTTCCCCATTACAATAAAACTACTGAAAAGATAGGAGTAAGCCACCTGAGCAAGAATTATTGGGCCTCCTTGTGATGCAAATAGGTTCTCGTCCTTCATTAGGTTAACGATCTTTGCAAGAAAGCGCTTCATTTCATTCTGTTCTTGACAATAATGTACATTTTGGAACCAAGTTATAACAGCTTTGGAGAATCATCGAAAGAAATTCAAGCAAGATGAACCCAACATGTGGGTATAAACCAGTACCATAAAAAGTCCATTCGTTGTTCGAAACTTGATTCCAGGAATCAAATGCAGCCACATAGGAAACCCCCTGCTCAAACATGAAGCAAAAGATATCAAATGAAAAACGATGATCTTGTTAGATTTCCTATTATGGAAATGGGGTTAGACTTGTGTCTCAACTCTCAACCCCACCACAAAGAAAAGAGAACATTTCCCTTTTATGTCGTCTCTATGATTTATTTTGATGAAAACTAGGAAAAAAGCAGATGTTCTTGTGTTGCATAATGATTACAGAAGAAAAATGAATTCTTGGATATTATAGGAAGTATGAGATACTTCCATTGGTCAAATGAAACAAGCTTCCATGAAAACAGACCCATAATTCCATTCAGCACAGGCATACGGTCCAATCCTCAGATGCACATAGAGACCGGCTTCTTGTACTGTCTTCACAAACCTTACAAGGTCAAACCTACCTTCAAAGTAGTACTGCAACAACACAAAAATTTAAGATTGTTAACAAGGAGTACCATGATATTTTGGTACCAATCAGCACCATGTTCGAAATGGCACCTGCCAACCAGCCTCAACTGCACATCATGACTTCGATACTAATTGTCAGATCAAGCGCTTACCAGTTACCACTACGCCAAAAGCTATAGCTAGTAGCAAAAACGCAACTTTATTTTCAATGGCAAGATGCCGGGCTTGGCTCTCTCGCCCAACAGAAATTTGCCAGTAGTAATGGCAGTAAAGCAATATTGAAACTAACATCTTATATAACCAATTGCATAATTTCCAGCTAAAGTTTTTACCTGTCCTCTGACAGGCTCATGATAATTCCAGAAAACATAACTCTCAATCACATCCAATCCTCCTTCCTTTGCCTTCCTAATAATATCCGGCCACACCTAAAAGAATTGCCAAAAAAGGAAGAAAAGAAAGACTTATTAGGCTTTCTATAGCTGACCGACTCAAACCAGAATGGCAAATAAGTCACTCCTACTAACTTGGTTGGGGTTGTCTCATGGTGCATTGAATAGTGTATCATTAACATTTTACTAGAATAAAAGACAAACATTAAAGGCTATATAAGTAGCATTATACTAAAATAGAGAATCACACTCACTTCTGGGGTTGTTCTTGGATAATGTATAGACCCAGACTGCAAAACCCTCCTCCTTCCATCAATAACCAGAGCCTTATGATCATATGTCACACTTACTGAACCACATCCTCTGAAACAAAAACCTCCATATGCTGAAACCAAAAACAAAATAATCAGCAAAAAATTATTTCTTTCCATGGCTCAGTCAAATGCACCAGAACATGAACAGAGTACTTAGTGCAGGGCTCTTATAGCAGAGAAATGTAATTGTTTTAAGGAGAAATTGTCTTGCATTTGTGTTGTGAGTGAAAAAGGAAGAATCTTGGTGGGGTATTTCTAGACAATTTCGGCCTCTAGCTTTGGGACTATTAGGGTGATGATTGGCAACAGCCGTATTATGCAGATTTTTGTTTGTTCTTATGCTTGTCTTTGTGCTTCTTGTTGTGATTAGTGAGGTCAACAGTACAGTTCAAATTCTGAAATGAGGATTATGACTAATAACAAATTTCAAGAAGCCCCATGAGAGAATCTTTGCCCTTTATCTCACCATTAGAACAACGTTAATTATTTTGATTGCTTAAACCTATAATCCGATCTGAAGGTTGTTAAGTTTTCTTAAATGGCAACCATCTGGAAAAATATTTTAGGCAACCCCACGCATGTTAATCCGGCAGTTTAATAATCATACGACTTCAAGTTTAATTATTAGTAAGAGTCCTATATTGATTTTCTTCTTTTAAATCAATCAGATAATATAAACTGATTTACTTTTTTCTACACGCTTTAAGATAATAATAAATTATTTATTTTTACAAGTATAAACAGTTCAGTTGATTCTCATGTAATAAATTATGAAAGCTGATCTTGATTTACACATTCACTATTCTACCATATAAGGAAAACTAAGAATTTTAGAGGTAAAAACTTTACATGTTGTGGACAAATTTTTTTTTTTTCTCTCAATATTAACTTTATGAGGCTAAACTAGTCCACCTAATATTAAAAAATTAAAAATCTATCATTTCCCTACTTTTATTTTTATTTCTTTTAAAATCAAGAATAAAAAAAAGTTACTCCTTTATAATTTTTTTGTAAAAAAGTAAATCAGTAATTAACTCTCACTGTACAGTGTACGGTAATGCTGTAAAAATCTTGTCGATGGAATCACTAAAGAAAAACATGTCCTGATGCGTGGTTTACTCGCTTGCCTTCTCTAAATCTACGAACTTTCAAAGCCCACCACATAAGGAGATTTGCCGGATTTGTACACTGATTCGCATCTCCCGCTAAATTCACTCAGTAAGACTCTATCTTTATTGAATATATGAAGTCCACATACAAATTTGCAGTGTTTATGGGAGTCAAACTATATTGGGTTCATACTTGTCTTTGGGATTTTTTCTTTCCTTCGACTTGATTGCTGCATCTGGGTGTCATAGACATCAAAGAAGTATGGGTGATTTGTTGTTTTGATGTTTTCTTCGTTACTGGGTGGTTCTGGTTTTCTTGTATGTCTGAGATTGCTTGGTTATTCTCTGTGCGATGCTTATGAGCTCGTTCAATTTGCTGTAGAACTTCAATTGTGATTTTCCTTTGAGAACTTTTCTTCAACCAGGTAAAAAAGTTGGTATCTTTGTGTGTGTGTATGCTCAAGCACAATTTGATGGACCAAAAAAGAGTGAAATTTTCACAGTTAATCAAGCTAATGTATTCTTGGGTAACGAGTGAAACCCGCAATCACTATCCGAGGCCCTTTTTCAAAGGGGTTGTGAGTTTATGCTTGTTATTTGGTATAGATAGGGAAATTTAAACATGAATATATAAGAATTTTGAAAAATGAAGAATTTTTGACACAATTTGCAGGGTTTGGTTTGGCTTTGTGCATACTTCTGAAGAATGGATTTCACGAAGATGAACCGCGGGGAACTTACTATTGCTGGAGCTGGGATCTGTACATTGTTTACAATGCATTTGACAATACAAACTTTGTCTCAGCACCTCTTTTACTGGAAGAACCCAAAGGAACAGAAAGCGATTATAATAATTATACTTATGGCTCCAATTTATGCTGTTGACTCATTTCTGGGGTTGTTGGATATTAGGGGAAGCAAAGAATTTTTCATGTTTCTTGACTCAATTAAGGAATGCTACGAGGCTCTGGTAAGTAGGTGCTTGGTCGGATGCACTAAACTCTTTTTTCTTTTTCTTTTTTGCTGCACATTTTGTTTGCTTATTAGTTATTAACCAGCAACTAAACCTGTTTTTTTTTTTTAATTGTGTGTTCTGTATATCGCCTCACTTCCAGGCAATTGCTAAGTTTTTGGCGTTACTGTATAGCTATTTAAACATATCCATCAGCAAAAACATAGTGCCCGATGGAATCAAAGGAAGAGAGATTCATCATTCGTTCCCAATGACTTTATTTCAGGTGCAGTTACACTTCTTTCAGTAAAACCGAAGATTTTGGAATTATTAAATTGGTATTTGAATACTTGGTTGCAGCAATTCGTCTAACCTATAATTTTTGGCAAAGTGCAGCCTCGCACTACTCGTTTGGACCACCATACACTAAAGCTTCTCAAATACTGGACATGGCAATTTGTTATTGTCCGTCCCATAAGCTCCATTTTGATGATAACGTTACAGATTCTTGGATTCTACCCTAGCTGGCTCAGTTGGACGTTTACCATAATTCTCAACATTTCATTTTATGTTGCAATGTATTCCTTGCTCGCTTTCTATCATGTCTTCTCAAAGGAATTGCAACCACACAAACCGCTTTCCAAGTTCCTCTGCATCAAGGGGATCGTCTTCTTCTCCTTTTGGCAGGTATATAACTAGTTGATAACATTAGTTGATTGTAGAAAGGTGTTTGGTAAATTAGCTGTTAGCTGATAGCTGTTTGGTATAATTTCTTTTATCAAAAAGCTAATTGAAAAAGTTGCTTTGAGCAGCTTTTTGAATTTTAGCATTTTGGAGTTACAAAAAGCTGATTAACCAAACACTTACATTGATTTTTTAACCAAGTCAGACAGGTAATAGTGGTCAAATAAGCCAAAATTGGCTGATAGACTAACTATTTTACCAAACAGGGTGTCTTACATCCTCCCCAATAGAAAGACTACAAGAACTGCAACGAGTAATAGCAAGATTTATGACGTCATGCTTTCCTTAAACCAGTTTGGTGTCTTGGATTTTGCAATGAACTTTTGTTGATTTCTGTAAACTTGCTTTCAGATTTCTGCTTGAAGTTTCGAAAACTAACCACTGTTTTTCACTAAATGTGTTATTCCTTACCCGTTTTCAGGGGATCTTGCTCGACATTCTGGTTGCAATGGGCATCATTAAGTCTCAGCATTTCTGGTTGGACGTAGAGCACATTCAGGAAGCCATTCAAAATGTCTTAATCTGTGTTGAGATGGTTTTCTTCGCTCTTATGCAGCAATACGCATTCCATGTTGCTCCCTACAGTGGAGACATGGAAGCAAAACTGAGACTTAAGAAGAGTGAATAATTTGCTCTGTGCACTAGATTGCTGACTGGTATTGATGTACTCGAGTTTGGAGAAAAGTCCGGTGTTATGCAGCAATATGCATTTTGTTAGTGTATTCTTGCTGTAAATGCTCTATGATTTCATATATTTTCAAGCTTTGTAAAAAAAGGTAGTGTTAAGAGTCCACATTGAAAAATATTAGAGAAACATATGGGTTTATCAGGCTGTGTTAAACTATGATTGAATTCAGTTTAACCCAATCTTAGATTATAACATGGTATAAGGGCCTGTTCAGTCCACTTTACAAGTAGAATACCATGATGAGTGAATGGATGAGACAGGAATTAGATGATACAAAATTACTGTTCATGATTAAGTGACATGATTTTGCTTCCTATTTATGCCTGTTCTGTACATTTCCTTTTTTCTGATTGATCTTATAAGAAAAAATTTGTGAAGATTTGACCTTGGAGGCTTGGACCAACACAGAAACTATATGAATCATGTATGAGAGTTGCCAAGATCAACTACATCTTGTCATCTTCTGATCTTCATCTCCCACACCATATCTTTGAACCCACAACCCTATCAGGCTGTCCCAGCTTCTTCATTGTTGATTTTGCCTCCTTCAATCTAGTCTTGTAATCTTTCTTCCAAGATTTGAACCTCTGCTTCAGCTTTGCCAAATCCTCTTTGGCGCTGAAACTCGAAACCTCTTGTCCTGATTGAATCCAAGAACTGCTCTCGGGATGATTGTCCAAAGTGGTTCTAAACTGGGCATTATGACAGGGAGAATCCAACCCGCCATTTACTTGATGTCCAGCATCCTTGAGCATACAAGAAGGTTTAAACGCGAGCCTCCCAGAAGAGGTTTCGGGTAATCTTGGAGATCCATTCCCAGCAGCAGCCTGTCTTTTCCTCACTGCAGCTAAACTTGTCTGCATAATTTCAGTAAAAAAGAAACTCTTAACATCATTGTTCTCTCAAATAGGGACTTCATGAGTTCAAAGTTCAAACTTTTATTGTTTATGTGATTATTTCATTATTAATCATTCCAGAGGATAGCAGACACTAGATGACAACTAGTTACCATATATGATCAATCTTCCATGTAAACAAGGAAAAGTACAAATGGGGACAACCCAGCCAAGTTGGTCAGACTATTGAAGGTTACAAGTTTGACTCCTGGTGGGAACAACATATTTGCCTTCTTAGTTTGAGCCGATCAGATATGGACAACCTAGACTGGTTTACTTCCTTTAAGGTTCTTTGTTGGTTAAGGTCACAGGGTGGCTAGGCAGGATTTGCCCAGTGCACACACTCGGATAGTGACTGCGAGTTTCAAAGTAAAAGTACAAATGCCAAAGAGTGATGCTAGACTAACTTGTATAGATGTCAGCTGATCTTGCCACATCTTCTCCATGGATTGCATCCTCGCTTCATATTGCTTCCATTTCGTTTCAAATTCTGCAATGCGTTTCTTCAGAGAAGCATTTTCGTCTTTCTTCCTCTCCAGAGCTGCCTCAGTAATCAGAACTTTTCTTCGCAGATCAAGTAAAACTATCTGTGGAACCTGAATATGATGATATAAGCCTTCAGATCAAACGAAATCAGCATAATCCTTAGTTTCATCATTCTGCATCTGCTATAAATATATACCTTGGTGAGTTCATTCTTGTTGCCAAGGTTGTCTGTATCTTGGCTTGCTATTTGCTTATCGAATTCCCTTCGAGCCAAGCAACCTCGAATGCCTGTAGAATGCAAACATAGGAGGATTTAGTTACTCTTGCCAGAAACCACATTTGAAAAATCAATGATCTTACCAGCCTGCAAGTATATGATCCCTGTAAGCTGTTCGGTTCGCTTTCTATGTTCCCTTGTGTGTTTCTGAATAATGACAATGGCTCTCAGTCTTTTTACAAGACACTGATACCCATTTCTTGCATTTTCACCCCTCACAACTGCAAAAACAATCGCAACATTAATGCTTTCACAAGCCCAGCTCATGACCAGAGACAGGATCGAGCCCTGACAGCCACAATGTGGGAGCCGCACCTAATGTGGTGGGCACCGGCCACTAGGTACTGGTACTCTCACCGTGATTTATCACATCCACAAATTTTGTTGGGCCAGGCCAGGGTGTGGGGCCTGGGGCGAGGGATTTTGTCTTTTGTGGGCAAGAGATTAGATATTACAGGCAAAAACAGACAAATAAAACATTAAAACTGCAAGAATTTTTGTCAGATTGTTCTGTATTTTGTTGTTTTGGTGAAGTAATTACATGATTGAAGTGAAATTGCTCCCATCTTAAGCTCATGATAGTATCTGCAGGCTTGGTGGCCTCTGAAACACCTCTGAATTATCACTACCCCCTTCTTCTGCAAAACTCCTCTCTCCTCATCTTCTGCAGCCTGTGAGACAGACAACATTAATTTTCCCTCAAATTGAAGTGCATAAAACATGACTAGGAATCTAGGATTCTGGGAACAACCTTAATTTACAGAGACTATAAGGGCAAATTTACCTTATTGAAATCATGGGGTGAATCAGTCTCTGAAGATTCCTGGTGATGAACAGAATCAAGAAAAGCCTCTTTCTGTGTACTTGTTGAACAACTCCCTTTAACTGCCTCATTTTCTCGAACCAAATCACTGTTGTGGAAGGTGAGCGGTAGTTTCATCCTGGCCCGCCGCGCCCTCATCACCGGCCGAGCCGGTAATGCCGGCAAGGAATCCTCCGGCGGCTCCTCCGCCTGCTGGAGCTTCAGCAGCATAAGCTCCAGCGAGCTAAGAGTCCTCATTTCACACGTTCTCGTCGTCCCCATTCCAGAAAACTCCCTCAAGACCAAACCTTTCTCTCTCTCTCTCTCTCTAGAGGAGCGTTTTGGGTTGACAACCGGCGCAAAAGCGAGACTTTTTATCCAACCCGGCAATAAATTAATGGGGGAAACATAATCTGATAATCTGATAATCTGCCAATAGAATCTGGGATAAAATCTAAATCTGGGAGGGATTTAGGAGGGTGGGCAAGTCTTGAATTTGGCGTTACTTGTGGGAGCAGCAAAAATCCTGGCGTTGTGAGAGTTCAGTGGAGGAATGATCAGACTGCATGTGTGAAGTGTCATAAAAAAAGTTCAAAACTTCCACTTTGTTCTTGCTTTGTCCGGACGACTGTGACGGATCCATTCGAGTCGTATGGTCCGAGGTGGTCCCGTTTCATCCGAGAATGAGAATTACTGTCGCTGTTAGTGTAGATTAGACAAATGGGGATTCGAACTGGGTTACTGTGGGTGATGATGGATGGGATTACAGGTGTGATGGGTTACCATGATTGGTTCTTGCACAATGTGGGATTCTCAATGATTCTTGATCTTGACAAAAGATTTTGTTATCTCATGTAGTAAATCCAAGGTTTATATTAGTTTATTTCCCAATTTGTCATATTTTATCTGCTTACCATTTCAGAAGTTCAAATTCATGTGTATGAGTGATACTTTTAAAAGAGTTTTACTACATTAGCCCTGAATTTCTACTTTATTATTTTTATTTCTTAATGTCGCAAGAAATGATCTGATAAGTTATCTTCTATCATGTGAGTCTCAAGAAAAATGTAAGACTAATACTAATACAAATAATGCATCATGAAAGAAAAATCCTTTCATCTTTTGTCGTTTACATTTTTTTTATATAATATTTAAAATGACTTTTAAATATACTCCGTATAAATTTACAAACATATTGTCAAATAGTAAAAATGTTGAATTCTATAAGTGATATAAGTAGTGGCAAGCATGCACCCAGCTTTGAGTGAATCAAGTATAATACGTTCCCTTTTTGGTTCGCGAGAAGTATTTGAGGGAAACAGAATTGAAATTTCATGGAAAAGAAATTAACAGAAGGTTGATTTCTTTGTTTCGTTGGTTGTTGTTTGGTTGGGGTTGGAATGGTAAGGAATAAGGAGTATAAAGACTAAAATATTCATATACAATGATACAGATAATAAAAGTAATAAGACAAATTTGTCCAATCATGTAATACTTTCTTCTTAACTTTCATTGAAAACAAAATACTACCCCTCCCCTTGAAAAACTTTTTTCTCAAAACTAAGAAAAATCGTGAACCACACGGAAGAAAATTTTATTCTCCTCAAATTTAAGGAAAACTTTTTCCTTTTAATTTTTTTTTCATCCAACCAAACATGCTCTAAGAGTACGTGTTTGACTTTTACAATCCGTGTAAGACAAAAATAGTACACATATCTTGACCAGATATCTAAATGAAATAAGGAAAGATGACGTACACACCGACATTTTTTTTTTTATGTTTTCCATATAAAAGTCTTATGTGGTCAAACTTCTCTCTTACCTTATTTTTGTTTGGTCGTCTCAAGATTAATTGAAGACTATCTACCAACTAATAAGTTAATATGGCATCACACCAACGTATATGAAATGAGGTGACATGAGTAATTGTTAATTAAGTTTCTTTTTCTCTCTCTTTTTTGTAACCCAACAAATTTCCAGATATTGTTAATTAAGTTGTGAATTTTTCTTATTGACGTTGTTGACATGACTAGTGTGATGGTTGATCAAAAGAGTTAAGGCAATAATTTAAACATTAGATACCATCCTACATAAATAAATGGAAGATGACTAATGATGAGAATTGTGAGCACTATGTTGAGTAAAGTCATGGTATTTGTCTAAAATAATTTATATTGTATTAAGGGAAGCGCGATATTTTTGGCCCTTGAATTATTTTTTGAAAATTTAGTTATTTAATTGTTTATTATGTTTTACTTTTAGTCTTTGTTTTTATATAATTATCAAATTTTGTCAGCAAATTATTTTTTATGAGGTTAATTTTATCATTTAATTAATTAATATTTATAATTTGAATTATTTTTTGAAAATTTAGTTCCTTAATTGTTTATTATGTTTCACTTTTAGTCTCTGTTCTTATATAATTATCAAATTTTGTCAACAAATTAGTTTTTATGAGATTAATTTTATCATTTAATTAATTAATATTTATGGTTAAAATTTCACTCTCTCTATGTGAATATTATTTTTAATATTGAATATTAATTTTAAATAATAAAAATAACCACATATGTTAATGAAATTTTAAACAATTGAGGAGCTAGATATGTTTAAATTAACTTACAAGAACTAAATTTTTAAAAGTTAAACAATTTAGGGACTAAAAGTATTATTTTTTCTTATATTAATAATAATCATTTTTTTAAACCAAAAATAAATTATTATGAATTCAAAATAGAAAGTAAAGGTAGAATACAGTAGAAAGAATCATTTGTTCTACTTAAAATGATTAAATTTGACTTTTGGTTTTATTAATAACAATCATTTTTAATAAACAATTGTCCCTTAGGGGACATCCGATTTTTAATAAATAATTAGTACATTTCACAATTGTCCCTTATGGCTTAATTCAAAACTGTGCTACTTCCTATTTGCAAAACTTTATTTATACCCCTAAGAAAATCCAAATTAAATCATCTCATCTAAATTTGTTGTAAAAAAACAAAATGTTAGATAGATGTTTTTGTGTGTGTGTGTGTATATATGTGTGTGTTCTAAGTTCTATGAGAATTAGTAGTCCCAAGATATTATGTGGAATAATATTATTCGATTGAGAGATGGAAAATAAGGAAATTGAAAATTGGGATGTTTGGTAAATAGTTGTTAACTGATTGGGTTAGTGAGTTTGAGTAGTTGATAATATTAGCTGCTTGCATAAAGATGTTTGATAAATTCGTTGTTATCTGATAGTTGATTACATGCAAAATGATTTTCTCAAAAGTTGTTTTTGAGCAGCTTTTTGAATTTTAGCATTCTGGGACAATAGAGTGTACTGTTACAAAAAGCTAATAAATCAAATATTTATATTTAATATTTAACCAAGTTAAACAACTAATAGTGGTCAAATAAGTCAAAATTCTTCCCATAAACTAGCCAAAATTAACTAATAAATTGTGTTATCAATCAAGACCATTATTGCATCTTATTGCAAACTTTTAATATAACGTTTTTTTTTTTTTTTTTTTTTTTGAAAATTTTAATATAACGTTTAATATGCTTATTTCTTCACAAGTGGGCCTGTTTTAATTGTAAAATTCAACAATTAATGAGTGAAGATTAATCATAGCATTTAGCCTAAGCCTACATGAGGATTTAAAATTTATGAAGCCAGGAAATAAAGTGTCCTCTTCATCAATGGAATATTTGGTGTTGGCACTACAAGTCCATAGGTCCAATTCATGCCTAATGAGTAGCACCATTGGGATTGGAAGAAATTTATAACTTTTCATTGAAAAAAAAATACTAGCATTTTGTTGCCATTATATTTATATAAAATAAAAATTTTAATTTTTCAAAACAATTTTAATCATTTTCTTTCACAACTGCAAAGTGGAATGATTTCATGAGGTCACAAATTTAGACATTCACACAATTTTTATTTACATTTACAAAATTGTTACTAGCGATATAGAAATAAATTGTAATTTTAGACATTAAAATCTATATTAGCTGTCAAGCACCTTGTGTTCAGATGTCATGTAGTGACATCTTTTATATGAGAAGTCATGAGATCGAGCTTCAGTGGATGCGTTATTGACTCTTTATACTTATTGAAAAAGTATGTTTAAACAAATACTTCAATGTAATAGATTCAATAATATTCAAAAACAAAAAAGTAAGTCTACATTAATTGGTCATGGTCTCATGGACCAAAATCAATAATTAATTAGCAATAAAATCCCTCCCTCTTTTCTCTCTTCCAATTATGAAAAAACTTACCAAAAAACTACAAGTGATGATGATGCTTTAAGCCATTGGTTGCAAACCTCCAAGATTTGGTGGGGATGTGAGGGCAATGATAAACCTACCCTAACTTTTTTTTTTTTTGTTGTTTTTTTTTATTATATAATAATAATTTTTGTAGGGAGGAAACAACATAATAAGGTAATAAAAGAGTTTTACCACATGTAGTACTTAATTTTACTTTTTAAATTTTACTCTTGACAAATTCTGATAAATTATTTTTTTCATGTGGGTTCCAATATAAATATCTACATCAAGATTTTGTGTATGTGAATACATGTTGAGAGTACAAAATAAGAATACATGTAGTATTTTCCGTAATAAAAATGAAGATAAATGGATTAATGCAAAGTTGTCTGCCATATAGGGTTTCAAAGCTGCTTATTTGGTGAAGCTAAGGTGGTCATTATGGATAGCCTGTCACGTGGGTTCATTTGGTTTACCAATGCATATATGCACTTTATTCCATATTCATCATTTACAAGAACCACAACCTCCCATCTTTTTTACTTTTAATAATGAAATAATCTGTTGCACTTTTATAATCTCTAGTATATATAAGTAAAAATTCAAAATAATCAAATTAGTTCCTCAATTATTTTGCTTCTCTCTTCTGTCATGACAATTGTAGGCTAATTACAAGTCGCTCAAATAGTTTCTTATGCTTCCAACCTAGTTAATGCTGGTGCAAAAATAAAAGTAGAAGTAATATGAAAAATTATAACACACTAGATAAATATGTGATTGTTAATTAATTGTTATATGAGATCCTTCTATATAATTTGCTGATTATTTCACAAAGACGAAAATTACTTAATGTATACACTCAAATAATGACTATAAATATTTCTCATTACCCAACAAATTAAATCAACTTTGGAATGCAAACTAGGACATAAAGTTTTGAAAGGACAGAATTGGAGATAATTAATATTGTCTTTCTATAAAATAATGGCCCACTAACTTTTCTAGAGAAGACTGAAGACCATATTTTGAAAACACCTGATGCTCTCACTATTGGGTTTGTTTTGGGCCCTGAACCCACAACGGAAATCGGCCCAATTATCTTCCGCTATTGCTATTGTTGTAATTGTAACTAGGATTTTCACACGTGCGATGCACGAAATTTATTTTGTTATAATATAGTACAAATATTTGGATTGTTATACAATTATTTAAATTATAACATCAAATATTATATAGTGCAATTGAAGATATATTCTGGATCGTTTATATTTGTCTGGTCGTTATATAGCATTGTAGCAATTTTCATTGACAAACTCCCAAAATAATTTGTTTCAACAA